CACTGAGTCTACCACAATAAGTTCTCTCTCTAGTTCTTCAGTTACCTCAAATCATAACTTCATTTTCTGAAGATAATGGATTGAAAGAAACCTCTCTCAAAGATGATACATTGGTAGATGGTACCAATATCCATTCTGAATTGTTACTCCTTTGATGCACAACCATTCAGTTAATAAAGCTTGATTCCACTAAGCCAAGCTTTTGCTCTCTAATATACTTCTGAGGAGGTTTCGCCTGGTCGCACTACACGACTTTGCTAGAAGTAGCCCTGTTTGTCTCTCATTTGTTAGCATAATTTTCTTGAAGAGATAAATTCGTAGGCTGAGAACCCAATGACCCCGTGTTGCTGACTTCAACCCAGGGCTGACCCTCTCTTGTTTTCATCCACTCTCTAAATTGGCACTCATTTAACCCATTCCTGGCTATACCTCTACCCTTTTGTAACACCCTCTATCTGGATGTCCCTCATTTTCACCATAATAGCATAGGTTCACAAGTTTCTTATCTTGAAAGCTGACATTGACCAGTTGATCCCCCAACCTAATATGTTTAAATCTCGATAAAGCTTCAGATAGAATAATATAAACCAAAAGACGGATATTCTAACCCGCATGATTACCTGCACTAACCACCACCTAATTCTTCACTCTTTTGAACACCTTCCAGTCCTACCTCAGCACACAACCAGTTGAGAGGTATATTGTGTGCCTCAACCCACATGTTGATCCTGCCATCCCTAGATAATCAAGAAATGATTTTCAAAACCCCAATTTGTTCTTGATGTTACTTTCTTTAAACCCTCCTTATTCTGGAAGATGAATTTGAACAAGTTGTGGCCCAATACCTTCACCTCCAGTGATTGTGGCCCAATACCTTCACCTCCAGTTATACCCGAGAAATTTTCAATCGAAAGAAAGCATGGCCCAGGTGCAAATTAAATCTCCAAAAGACGGACAAGGCCCAAAGTCAAGAATCCATCCAACATACAGTCCAAACAAATGGGATTAGGGTTTCTGATCACCCGATCGGCCCACGGATCGCCCACGAAAGCTTCCCAAAATAAAATTGACGATCACCTTTATCGTTTGAACCAAAACTGGCAAAGCTGATAGCACCGCCCAAGCTGTCCCATCTAATTGTCCATGAAAACACACGGCTCCACCCTACGCCATTAGCTGACACTCAACATTCAATGCGCCATCACCATTTTTGCAGACCCCATGGTCCATCACCAGGGCATGAAAAAACAACAAGGTCAATCACGACCATAACATGACCACTATTATTCTCTGCATATTTGTTCTCCTAATCTCCCCAAAGATCACATACAACATACTTTCCATACTTGGTTGTATCCATCATACAAATTTCTAAATAAAATTCCACATAAACAATCTCCTTACCGATTGCCACAATCAATCGGCAACATTGGTGCCTTGCTCTTTTTTTTTACGCATATTTGTTTTA